GTTACCAATTCGTCAATAATTTTTTCACCATTTGAAATTTCCAATTCTATTTGAATTTCGTCTTCATCTTCGGAAACTGAATTAATAATATCGATATCTGAATTAAAAGCCAGTTCTTCTGGAACTAAGACGGACGAAGCGGTTGGCCATTCTATTTCTTCAAGTTGTCTATTTACTTCATGAATATCTGGACGATGCGTTGGTACGTCATCCCAGCATGCTTGATAAAGGTTAACATATTTGTCTGGAGTTTCGCAAATTCTTATTTCTTTTTCTGATGAAGTACAAAAACTATATCCATATTGATTAGTCGGGGGACGACCGCTGGAAATAACCCAAAATAGCACTCCAATGCTAAAAATATCGGATTGTTCGTTTCGTCTAAAATTAGTTATATCTCTTAGAAACGCGGTATCAATATAACTTATCACACCCAAATCGGTTTTCGAGTTAGATTGATCATTTGAAAGCTTCGAATAACCTAAGTCGGAAATTTTGAGTTTTCCTTTATGAACGAGTATATTGTTGTGATTCTATTACATGTAATAAACAGTTCAATCTTAGTATTGTAACAATAAAATCGACAGCATATTGAGTATATATATATATACGTAATGTCTTACCAAATCTCGATGAATAATGCCTGCATCATGTATACACTTTACTCCTTTAGCGAGTTGTTTAGCCAAACTCAATTTGTCATCGCCACTCATGTTATCGAAATTAATGTTTAAATACTCTTTAAGAGTTCCGCCATTAGCATATTTCAAAACAAGCATATACTTCTCAGAAGTCGGGTCTAAAGAACATTTCTTATTAATGAAATTATATTAGACTTAATAAAAAAAATTAACATGTTTACCTCGAGTGAGTCCGTAAAAGCGAATAATATTTTTATGATGATTGATTTGAATAAGGACCTTCAACTTATATAACGATAATGAACATGATTAGCATTAACGTATTAGATATTTCGAATCTTAAATAAATTATACCTCTTCAATAAACCGTTTGTTTATTTCTTCATTATATGTTTTATTTTTTACATAAAGGCATTTTAAAGCGACAGTTAAATCTTCATCTTTTAATTCAGCTTTATAAACTTCACCAAATGCTCCATTTCCAATTACTTCCTTATCAGAAAATTTATTGAAATCAAAAAATTTTATTTGTTTTTCAGACTTAGCGTATTCCAACCAGTGAGTTGCAGTATACGAAAAAGATGCCATTTTGGTCGTCGGAAAAAAACGATAACGATAAACAAATGGAAATTCTATCACTATGTAACCGTACCGTAACGCACGCATGTAAATTGTGACATTTCAAAGTTTTACTACATGTGTAAACATCGTTACACAATAACGGAGTATTGGTACTGTTGCACTTATTTTAAATTGAGGGATTTCTAACGCAACAAGGCTTTGGGAGAGATTATTAGATTTATTGACGTTTATTCGGTATCTAAAGTCTGTGCCGATATCTACGGATATCGTTGACTTACGTTGATTTTTGGGGGAAAGGGAGAGACTATGGGTTTCGGGTGAGTGTTCGGGGTTTTCTTAACTATTGCTTTTTATAGATAAAAGCCTTAAACTCTTAAAAATATTACTAACAATCGTTGCTTTTTCTAGAAAAAAGCCTTAAACTCTTAAAACGGTTTTTCATTAACAATGCGATTTTACAAAAAAACAGTGCCTTTTCTGGTGCAAAGGACCTAACCAACAAGTAATACGATATCAAGATTAATGTGAAGGAGAGGGGAAGAGTTTTACAATCAATATTTCGCTTTTAGTATAGTTGTACGCAAAGATTCAAGCTGTATTTTTGCTTGGAGAAGAATTGTACACAATTTTATTTCTACTTTTATTAATAGCCCGTGGGCCATTCTTTTATACATTTTTTTGTGTATTATTATTTTTGTACTATCAAAGAAAGCATAACGTTTTACTAAAATAAAATAAAAGAGTTTATGACGGACGCTCTATCATCTACAGAAGAAACTGTTACAAACTCAAAAACTGATGGAACCGTGTTGAAGATTGATGAGAAGATGCTGAAAACGATGAGGAGATGCTAAAAAAAAACAGTGATGAGACGCTGAAAAACAATGATGAGACGCTGAAAAATAGTGATGAGAAGCAAAAAAAGAGAACGCGGTAAATGGCGTGATTTTGTGTCGCATACTAAAGGGGAGTTTGTTGTTTTTTTATTAACATGTCATCATGCTGAAAAACCCATAAACCGCATTTGTTGACATTCGTGACGAAATCTGCTGCTTACCGGTTTGGGCAACTTGCGGTATTGTGGACGATCGTGATGGGAACTCGCCGCAATTGTTGCTGTAAACTCTACCGGTTTTGGAAATCAGCGATGCTACACATACACTGATCCGACGCTATTGACATTCGCGGCTCGTTTTCTTTCGATTATCCTCGATGAACCGTAATCGAGGAAGTTTGTTTGCCGGTGGTAACAGTACATGTCCGTATGTAGAAAATAAACCTTTAAAGTGTAAGCATATCGATATTGCTTTTTTGTTTTTCAATATAATTGACTTAGATTTAGACTGCTTAGGGATTACAATATTAGTTATTATGGCACAACCAAAAACCCAGTACAAATGAATACTCGACAATAATGGATAATGCAGAAGAATATTTATTTATCATAAGTCGTTTATACACGATATATGTAAGGAATTTTTGCATCGTAAGTTTCATCCTGGAAATATATTAATAAAGATATGACCTCAAATTGTTGATTTTGTATATAGAAAAATCTGCTCAAAAAATTGGCGGAGTACTTCCTTATATGAGTCCATAGAAAGCAATACAATAAAGCTGCAGATATTTATAATTTACATATTGTATTCCGGATGGTTCGGATCAATCCGAAACCGAACCGGACCAACCCAGACCGAAGCCAAACCGAAAAAACATTTTGGTTGATAATGATTCAGTTTCGGGTTTAATCCGAAATGATATGATGAGAAGAAATAATTTTGTTATCAAAATAAACAGTTTCATTTTTAATTCAAATAAGTAGCTATATATATACCTAAAAATGTTATTTTTGACTTCTCTATCTAATATGTAATAGAAAAGTACCTAGTTGTGCTGAGCAAAACTTGATAAACTGGAATATTTCGTTCATTAAGAAATATGGTTAATTTATTACGCATAGACTATATCCAGTATTAAATGCATGTACTCGCTACATTCATTTAAATTTCGGATCAACCCGTATTTTCGGTTTGGTTTCGGATTGCAAACCGAACCGAAATTTCGGTTTAGATCAATCACAAATCTGAACCGAACCAGACCATTCGGAATACTAATCACGTACGAGGAGGTTGTCACCGAAGTTATGATATAAATCATTAGTACCCTGGCCGTGGCAACAAATGTACCGTTCACGTGATGTATCCGCAACCATTCTACGCAACCAATAGGAATGTAGCAAATTTTTGATCAACCCGGCAATCTAGCTTGACGCGCTATCAAAAAATGTCGAGAAGACAATTTATATATAACCTTGATGTCAGCTCTAACCTTAACCTTAACACTTGATATCTCGTTAGCACATCTGGAATGTGTGCAGGTTCGTGCCGCAGTCCAATAAGAATGCGATTTACTGGTGGCACAGACCAATAAGGATGTGTGAATTTTTGATCAGCCGGCAAAACAATCCGACGCAAAATAATGAAAAATGCGAAAAATACGGGAAATAAAAATGTCGGTGAGGCAATTTTACATATAACCTTAATATCTACTCTAACCCCCTAACCCTATATCAACTTTTGGGTAATTTTATGGCTGCGCCACGAACCTGGCACACATTCCAGATGAACAATCATTTATCTATACAGTTAAACCGAAGTGACCATAGGCGAAGATCCGAATATAAATGCACTACTTGGTCAGGATGCATAGAGTGATTGCTTATTTTTTAGATTCACTGCCCACGGGTAACAGTGCATTATCACGAAAGTGAATGAATGCATTACCACAGAGGTGATTACTTTTTATTTTTTTTTATGATTTTTTAGATTCACTGTCCCGGATAAATTTGCATTACCACGAAGTGAATGGATGTACTACCGCAGAGGTGATTACTTTTATTTTTTTATGATTTTTTAGATTCACTGCCTCGGGTAAAGGTGCATTACCACGAAAAATAATGGATGCATTACCACGAAAAATGATGGATGCATTACCACGAAGATTGATGCACTACCACAAAGGTGGATACACTACCACGGAGGTGGTTTCTTTTTGTTTTTGTTTTTAGATATACTACCCGGAAAGAAATAATGATGAGACAAAATCAAAAGCAAAACAACGACTCCAGTTTTACTTTAGAAAAAGAAGTAAAAATTCAGAGAAAAAACTTTGAAGAAAGAAAAGCTAAAGAAACAACTCGCAAAACATCTCTTAGCACTGAGTGTAAATAGTGCTAGCAAGAAAGTAGTGTGAATAGTGTTAGCAAGAAGTGTGGATATACTACCACTAAGGTAATTACCTAGAAGTCTTACAAGCGAGAAATGTTAAAGGAAAGAATAACGGGACAAAATTAACAGCAAAATAACTACTCCAGCTTTACTTTGAAAAGTAAAAAAAAAAGTCAAAGAAAGAATTCGCGAATAACACTAACAAGAAGTGTGGGAAGAAAAATTAATAGATCGTAACAGTAAGGTGATTTGTCACATTGATCACTATACGAGTGTGATTATTATAAACATTTGGAATCTACGTATTTAAATTTCATATATAAAAATTAGTAAAAAAAATCTTTCTGTTCTATTTAGCGAAAAAAATAGAATACAACCTTGTCTCAAACTTGAGTTGTTCATTCTTTAGTTTCATTCAGGTAAAGGTTGAATGGTGGTTAAAAATAAAGTTTTAAATAATCTTTACCTTGAAGTTGACTGATTTCTCTATATACTTCTATATATAATGCAAAATAGCTCGTTCTAAATGACACCTATTTGTCCATGCTACTAACTAATCATTCTCTGACTATTATTAGAATAAAACATATGGAAGGCTCAGAACTATATGATGCAACTTAAAGTAGCTTAAATTCATCCCTATCTTTATCATTATCTTTGTTGTTACTATTATTTTCACTATTATCTTTGTTAATATCTTCACCATTATCTTTCTCATCATCTTTCTCATCATCTTTATCATTACCTTCATTATTTCTTTTTTTTCTTTTTATTATTTTTGCTATTATCTCTATTATCACAAATTTATATGATAAATTCATCATATAATATATAATTTTTTCAATATAAATGAAGGTTGCAATTTAAAATAGTAATTTTTCTTTGTTTGATTTCTTGTTTTAAAGATACTATACTTAATTTATTGTATAGCAAAGCTTTAATATTTTGAAATCTTTCAGATCTTTTAATTTTTGACTTTCTTAATTTGGATATGTTATAACTTATTGTATGAGTTATATAAAAATTAACTAAATACATATTTACATAGTTAATTTTTAATATAACTCTTTCTGAAAATAAGAAATAAAATTGTGAATATATTATTTATTAGTAAGAATTTATATTAAAATTTTTAGTAAATTAAAATAAATCATTATATAATGAAAGCATTTTAATAATTATAAATAATTATGTGGATATGCTAAGTATTAAGATAAGTTTTATCACTATATAATTGGATTTGTCTTAATTATATAAATTAGATTTTTAGAATGAACAGGTTAATTATGAAAAAACAATTTGATTTTTTATTTTATTTTGTTTTTTTCTTTAGTTTATAATTATTAATTTTTTATTTGTTTAAATTTAGATACATATTTTTAATAACTATTTATAATTATTTTTATTTATTTATTTAGTATAATTCATTTTAAGTTGCTAAAAAATTTAATACATATTTAACTTTACTAATAAAAATGTTTTGGTAGTTTTATTCTTCTTTTCAGAAACAATAGGTTAAAACATATTCAAAGTTGAAGAGAGAACTTAGCATTAAAGTGGCACTTTATGATAAATTTTTGATAGTGAATTTGGAACAAACTAGCTATTTTATTATTGCTTATTCCTATTTTGCTCTTCTCTTTTCTTGCCACTTTATTTTAGTCTAGATACGTAGTAAGTTTAGAATATTACAAAACACCCTTTTGTAAAATTTAACAATTGTTTAAATGTGAAGTTAATAAGTTCGCATGTACTTCTTTCATGAAATTTAGCTTTTTTGAATGTAAAATTAATAATACGTAGTTACAAAATGAATTTATTAAATAAAGCAAAAGATATATTCAAACCAATATTTGCAAGCGAACAAGAGTTCTATCTACCATCATAAAACTTGTACTAGTATCTCCTGAAATTCTTAACGCAAATAAAATTGAGCTATATACAAATTATTTGATGTGTTTATTCTTTTTGCACCATACTATGGTTAACTCTCGACATATATAAATTTATTTTCATGATTTTATAATTAAACAGTTCTTGCATTTTAAGTCTCTTACAGATAGTAATAATTTTTTGAAAAATACAGTTAATTAACTTTAAATGGCATAATATTTAGAAATAATTATGTATACACAAAACTTGAATTAAGTTGAGGTGGTTCTGCGGGTGAAAGTATTCCGGAATTTTTTTGAAAAGTTTTATGATAAACCGGAAACAATTCAATTTAATGTTTCCTCGAAAAATTCTATTTTTATATGAAAAGCATGGGAAAAATTTTTTTTGCTTTACAATCAAAAGTCGTTGTATTTAAAATTGCCACCAGCCTTGTATCATTTTTCAAAAATACAATTAATTAGCTTTAAAATATATAAAAATAATTACTAAAAAATTATGAATATGTACGTATATAGCTTGAAAATTTCCATTTTACTATATAAATATGAACCGGGCAATACTGTACATGTATGTTAATATCAATTTGACAACATTGTCAGTTTAGTAAATTTCTTTATTAAATATTATTATGTGAAATATGCCATCCACCCGAATCCAATTACCCGACATGGATAAAGGCAAAATCCTTGCTCTCATGGAATATATGAGTGCTAAGAGAATTGCAAAAATGAGGCGGGACTCACCATCATACAAAGATTTATAAGAAAACGAGAAAATTGGAAATTTACCTCAGTCTGGAGTGCACTCATACAAGTAAAGATCTGTTCGGGTCGGGTCAGGTCGGGTTTGAGGTCAACCTGAACCGATAATTTTGGGTCAGGTCAGGTTTGACCCGAAAATTGTAAAATAGTTTTTTGTTAATAACGTTTATTTTTACTAAGAAACTTGTATTTTGTGTCCTATGTAGAGTTATTTGGAATATAATTGTGTATATATCCACAAATTATCGTTTAATTTCAATTAATATTGAACGAGAAACAACGATATTTAGGCTGACCTGAAATATTCAGGTCAGGTTTGACCCCAATCTGACCCCGACCCAGTTGGAGCACTACATACAAGAAGTCACCAAGACACGACGTAAGCCATTACACGTAATTATAAATGACTTAGGACTCAAATGTAGTGTATCAACTGCTAAGAATATACTACATAATGCTAGAATTCGATTCGGTATTGCTGCACTGCAAAAAAGCCATTCATACGTGTTAATTGGCGAAAAAACAAAAAAACTGCCTATGTTAGTCAAAGCTAATATTTTCTGACGAAACAAGTGTGAAAATACCGTCAAATAAGGTTATGGTGGCACACAGGGGAAAGGTGCAATGTAGAGTGTCTTGCACTCTCTTTTAAGAGTGATCGGTGCTTAGTAATAGCATTGGATGTTTTGTGGGGAGATAAAAGAACCGTTAATATTTTGCGACGAATTTAAAAAAAATAATACAACAAGCTATCTTTTACCTTTTTACAATATGACGTGTGAATTAGTTGGGAAAAATGTTGCAGTAAAAGCCATGGAATGGAATGATTCGAAATAAAAAACATTCAAATTATGGACTGGCCTGCGAGTTCATCTTGTCTTAACCTGATCAAAAATGTTTGGAGATTATTGAATAATATTCAAAAGCGTGAACGTTTTCCAGGACTGTTAATGAACTTAAAATTGATTCTAAGAGAGGTTATTGATTCAATGCCACTGAGAATTAGTCAGTGTTGACGGTAGGAGGACCATTTGGTGAATGAAGTCATGATCATTATCTTGTAGTAGATATCTATAAAGGAGTACGACTACGGTACATGTACTAAATAATATTTCACGATCCTATTCCAGGAAAACAGATCGACTTCAGAGGATCTATCGAAATCCAAAAAAATCATTTGTTCAAATTCTCACGATTTTTATAATAAATCCAAACCATGACTGCCAAACTCAGAATTTGTAAAATGAAGCAATACAATAATGGCAAAAAGGCCAACAATCAACAAAGGTAATGCTCCTAACCAAAATGCAGTTATGAAAATGTTCTCAATATCAACTATTAATGACTGACTGAACACAAAACCATTGTTAAGTACAGCAAAGCTACTATCAACAAATAGAACACAGCTAAAAACTAAACTTACCTTTCAAAATTAACCGGCGGTTGCCAACAACAATGTTAAGCTGTTCAAATCCCGACAATCACACTCTCGACAATCGATAAACCCGACAAACTAAATACTTAAACCATGAATCCCGAAATCACAAAATCACAAATCCCGGCAGTTCAAAATCTGACATTAAAATCCCAATATTTACGTTTAATGTTATGTACATAAAGCTATAGTAAGGGTTAGTGCTGGGAGATAAGATTAGTGTTATGCGTATAGGCATCATGCTTTTAATTGCCAGGAATTTTGAACGTCAAAATTTTATGTTTCTGGGTTTCGGGATTTGGTGGTTTCAGGATTTCGTAATTTGTGATTTTATGCTTTTGAGATTTCAAGATTTCATGGTTTCGGGATTTCGTGGTTTTGGAATTTATTTTGTCGGGTTTATCGATTGTCGGGAGTATGGTTGTCGGGATTTCATTAAATAAGATCGACAGCACCGATACTACGAAGGATGGTAAAAAGAGCCCGGAGTTACTGCGCGCATTCGGTTGTAGAACAATACAAAATAAGAAAATGACGAAATATGAAATTCATCAACACAAATACTGTACTGTAATATTATATTATATTGTCAAGCATAGTGTTAGGCAATAATACAATTTGGATAAATAAACTTTGTTTCGATGTTCTTTATATCTTTAAACTAGAAGATTGTGTATTTTACAACGCATATTTGGCCTATGGATAATTCTAGTTAGGCAACTTTCATTCTTGCTTTCATTGCAACACAACTATGACCTACTTTTTCGACTTTGCTTCTAATTTTTCCTGTTTGATAGCTCTGCTTAGAAACTCTCTTTTGCAATATATTCAACATAATTTTTCAAAAGGGAACGTTCGCAAGTTCTAATTTGATACATAATGATGATGATGACGGCGTTTATCAACATTAATATAATACAGCGAATCTCTTTATAAGAAGGTGTCGGGAACATAGTAAAAATTTCAAAGTCTTCTTATATCGAGAGGTTATTAATAGATTTTCATATATCAAGAGAATTTATCAAATTTTAATTATTAGCGGTAGAATTACAGGTGTATCTACATAAAGCTTCTCTAATTACATGTACTTAATGTGATATTGGAAGATGTGAGATTGGGAGAAATGATGGTTTGACGAAAAAAATATCGGCAGTTGGTCATGTGAACTTGGATTTGCACGACTTGAATTCTATTTTTATCATATCAATATGGGAACACAAATTACATGTATTAAAGATACCCTTAAAATAGTGAATTTTATTTAATGAATAAATGATTTGAAATTTATTCTCCTGGAGGAAAAATCTCAAGTTTCATATTTCTTATTAAGAATATCCTATCATGAAGATTTGGATCTAAAAGTATTGAATGTTAATGTCAATAATAGAAATTGTGGAAAAATAAATGAATGATCCGATATTTAAATGATTGAATAGTGTCAGGTTACCCATCCGAATTGATCAGTCATGCAAATTCGCATTAAATCAATCTTGCATCGAATGATTCGGACCTCTATAGGAAAATTCATCAAATTTTGAATAAATGGGATAATTCTTTAAAATAAAAGACATATTTAATCTAGTTTCACCAAGTTACAGAGGTTTTGGTATTGTCGTGGGTCGATTGTGATTAGTCGTAATTGGCAATCTTCCTACAACGAGTGCACAGACTGAGTAATATTCGTTAGTTTCTAATTCCTGTGCTGATATCTATAGATACAGTTCAGTGTAACATCGAGAAGGTTCCAGACGAGAATTTGGATGGTCCAAGTTTTTAGGCAAGGTAGTTTTGAGTGCTATATTTTACGTGACGAGTTCTCTTATCAAAAATATTTTCTATTAACTTTCTTTTTTTTGCTAAAAGCCTTAAATTAATCAACAATATTCCGTTCAACAGTAGCAATGCCCTTTTTGGGTCAAAGGTCCCAACCACAATCAATTACAAGTCTCAATTACTTGAAGAATTGTACGCAGCTAATTATGAATTTTTATTAATTTCCTTGACTATATTAGACATCTTTTTGATTACATTGTGAAGTATTACTCAAGAATTTAACGCATAATGCACACTATTGTTTAAGAGAGAATTTAAAATATAATTAAGGATCGAAAAAAAAATAGAAATTAAAATATAACAATCAGGATAGAATTTGAAACGAATAAAATAGACTAACAGAATCGGACCAGGCGAGCTTTACCAAAATTTTGAGTTTAACAAAACTCCTGGTACACGTGCAAGTTGATATAACGGACTCTCTTTAGAAAATTTAAACTTTGACTTAATCTCATAGTCATTAATTTGAAACTAAAGTTTTTTAAGAAATTTCATTGTGAGTCTTAATTAATTTGTTCTGCAAAACATAATTGGTTTTACTAAAAAAAATTGGACTAAATTGAGGTTCGAGTTTTCTAAAGAGGGTCCGTTATATTAAAATGTCCCTTTAGTAAATCGGTAAAAACAAAATTTTCGCTCTTATTTTATCACCTTAACACTAGAAATTGACCTATTACAGTATACAGTCTTAATTAAAATTAAATTTCAAGTTTGTTTATCATGTTGTGATAGCAATATTTTTAAACGATGAGAGACAGAACGCATATTGTTATGTAAATAACCAAATACATGTACATGTACCTACCAATTTTTCTTATCTCTTGTCACTAGTTTTTTTTTTAGATATTTCAGTTCAATTTTTTGGCTTCAAAGAGTCAGATTCAGTGATTTAACCCATTGGCATCGTTAAGATCTTGTCAGACAATTGGATCTATCTCAATCATTTTCAAGATCGTTGTATGGAGTAAACAATGCTGTGACCGATTCCTCAAGTTATTGGAAAATTGCCACGAGGTAAGAGACCAATTCCATGCCTCAGAAGACACTTTGACAAAGTCAAGCTGGAGTAATAGTGATCATGTATCTTTTGCATCCTACAACTTGCTGAAGCAAACTCATGACAAATAACTTGGACGAAAAAATACTAAATTTGGCGATAATACTCCCCTCTCAAAGATAAAAAATAAATACAGTATACCTAAGACAGATCAAAGACAACATCAAGTTCGGCAGATGGGGTTACTATTAGTAGTACATCAGCTCATAGGTCACGAGTTACCTCAACGTACTTCTATTCCTATTTTAACTTTTATTTTTATTATAACGGAAGCGTCGTGACAATTTCTTTTTTGCTGGTGACTAAAAATTGATCCAGTAACTTTGGGACACGATATCTTGTGATCCACAGGTTCGATCTGGATAAAAATACCACCATTCAACTTTTCAAGATAACTTAACCTGTGATTTTCCGGAACTAAAAAAACCGAATTTTTGCCTGATTGTTTTTTTACAGGGAACTAGTTATTAATAACTGCATGTAGTTCAAAAAATGAGAATAAAAAGATGAAACCGATCGGTTCTACATGTACTAATATCTTTACATATGTAACATTTAAAAAAATGTCTACGGTAATAAATTACTAGGATCTTTTATTTGCATAGAGGTTCATCGAAAATTTAAATATGAAAAGTTGACCTTATACGTTGTTTTAAAACAATTGAAATGTAATTACTAGGGCTTCTAAATTAGTTATTTAAATAATTTAAATTATCCTACTTATATGAATTTTATAGCGTGTGCTTAGTACCCAAGGGGTATCGATGTTCAAATCGTTAGAGAGTACTATGTATAAGGTGATTCTATAGTTAGCGTTCTTCAGTGTTAACGTCATCAGTTTCGATTGTTTCTATGTAGACACCAATTAAGACATTATTCAGTAATCTTTACCATTTGATTCAGAGGTGACCATTTCGGAACTGCTATTGAATAATATGTCACAAGATCTTCCGCCGCTCACATTTATAAAACTTGCAATTTAACTCATCAATCTTAGGTGTTGTTTTGGTTGGATTTCTTTGTTATATGGTTCGGCGCACCTAAGCTATCCATAAACTTCTTAACGTTAACTGGGAAATCCATTTTATCTAATGAATTAAATTTTGTTAACGATAAAATTTGTTGATGAGTCATTCAAAATTATTTCTTGTTTGACTCAATTAATTGCTTCAACATTATTAATAAAACAAATTTACTTTGTATTTGGATAGTTAATCTTAAATAATCATTTTGAATACACGAGATCATAGTGACGCGTATTTTGGTCTTATTATTATTATTATCGTTCCTTAGTTTTAAAGAGGAAGAGACGAATTGTCATAAGTGCGATGTTATTGAGAGATTTTATTATCTGATTTGTGCTTCGTAGACACGAAATTTTTATGAACAATTGTAGACTTTTGCGTATTGACGAGGATAGATATAATCATGAATTTTGAATTATTTCACAGACATATTACAACTTCTTTATAATCGATAGTATGAAAATGGCAAGCTATATTATGCTTTACTTTTATGAGAAACAAGCTTTGAATACAAAAAGCAAATATTTTCAATAACTTCGTCAATATTCTCCGAAAGTAAAAAATCTCTGATGAAATATTAAAATAGCAATGATTATATGCGAGCCGAAGTTAGATATTTTACAAAAAAAATCCCTGAATAAAGTTAATTAAGGAATGTACATCAAAACCCAATTTTTTTGCTTTTGAGACTTTGAATTTCAAAATATTTGATTTTACAGTGCAGGTCACTTAGTCACCACAATTGCTGTGTCACCAGCAAATTTTCAGGTATTGATAGCGATATCGATAGTCACTAAAAGGGGGGAGGAAAAGTTTTAACATATTTATTCAAATATACATGTATAATTAATGATTTCTTGCACTCTGTTTCTTCGCATCATTATTAATGTAGATCATTTACTACGTAGCAAATAAATACGTATACTGATACAGCCAAACTATGTACATGTAATATATAAACTTATTCTTAACGTTAATCTTTAACGTCCTCCCTGAACATTAAACGAACAAAATTAAATATCACGTGTAAATTTTCATCCAATTGAAATTTAACATTATAGTACAGCATTTTAAGCCAAAATAGTGATTTTTATAGGATCTCGTGATTTAATAAATAGTAAAAACGTTTATAGTGAAAAAATATGACATAAACAAGTTTAATTCTTCTTACCAATACTATCATATCAATTAATCTATAATCAATAAAATTGCATCATGCTTGTTTTTTTCCCATCTTGATAAACAATTATTAATCATGATGCACAATCGATGTTAACAAGTGCACCCCTCCCAGAACTTGACTTGAATGGCGTGATGAGATGTGGCTATATAAATTAGGATGTTCTATTAGTAACGTGTAACTCAAGAAAACAAAGAAATATTTTTTGCGCGCTTTTTTTAATACTGCTATTTCCAAATACATATACAATATAAAATGCATCACTGTATTCGTTCGACAGTTTGTGTTGGTGAAAATGCATTTTCGACTTTCACCAAAAATATGACCTGTTCAAAAAATGTACAGAAAGCGTTTTCAATCTGCACCAAAACTATGATCCATTCGTTTACTAAGAGTCAGAAAAGCAAGCTCTCAGAAGACTGAAGTAAACATACCTAATATTTTTTCATTATTACCATTGGTAACCAATAAAATAGTGCTTAGTGGCTTTAGTGAGAATGTCGATGGTTTATTTAGACAAAGAAAGAGTAATCTCTTTGTACCATCACCACTAACAACAAATACAACACTGAAAACAGTAACCTTAAAATCTTCTGACTAGATGTCACCTTTTCAGAAATATGAAAAAGTCAAATGTCTTACTTTGTTAATAACAAAGGGTGATACAAGTAATGTCGATAATAATAACAGTATAATAAATCATGTTAATAAAAATACAGAATTAGAAATAATTACCTGTATTGTTTCCACAAATAAAGATAATTATAAGAAAGCAATTATCACTAAGATCAAAGATGGTGAAAGTGATAATAATGATAATAGGACATTAGTAATTAATGGAAATGATGAATCTGGTAACTTGGAAGATACTGACAATAATAGTGAAAAGTATGAAAATACGACAAATGTACAAGATTTAAGTAATGTTGATGGCAATGACAGTATAATAAATCATATTGATAAAAACAGAGAATTAGATGAAATGATTACCTATATTGTTCTCATAAATAAAGGTAATAAGAAAGTAATCATCGCTGAGATCAAAGATGGTGAAAGTGATAATAATAATAATAGGACATTAGTAATCGATGGGAATGATGAATCTGATAACTTGGAAGATACTGATAATAATGATGAAAAGTATGAAGATATGAGAAATAGACAAGATTCAAGTAATGTTGACAATAATAACAGTATAATAAATCACGTTAATAAAAACAGAGAATTAGGTAAAATGATTACCTGTATTGTTCCCACAAATGAAGGTGATTATAAAAAAGCAATCATCACTGAGATCAAAGATAATGAAAGTAATAATAACAATAATAGGATATTAGTAATCAATGAGAATAATTAATCTGACAACATAGAAGATACTGAAAATGATGATGAAAAGTATGAAGATATGACAAACAGACAAGATTCAAGTAATATTGATGACAATGACAATATAATAAATTGCATTGATAAAAACAGAGAATTAGGTGGAATGATTACTTATATTATTTTCACGAATGAAGATGATTATAAAAAAGCAATCATCACTGAGATCAAAGATAATAAAAGTGATAATAATAATAATAGAACATTAGTAATCAATAAAAATAATAAATTTTTCAACATAGAAAATACTGAAAATAATAGTAAAAAGTATGAAGATATAACAAATAGACAAGATTTAAGTAATAACAGTATAATAAATCATGTCAATAAAAACAGAAAATTAGGTGAAATGATTACCTATATTGTTCCTATGAATAAAGGTAATTATAAAAAAGCAATCATCACTAAGATCAAATATGGTGAAAGTGATAATAATGATAATAGAATATTAGTAATCAATGGGAATGATGAATCTGATAATATAGAAGATACTGAAAATGATAGTGAAAAGTATGAAAATACAACAAATAGACAAGATTCAAGTAATGTCAATGACAATGATGATATGATAAATCACATTAATAAAATAGAGAATTAGATAGAATTGTTCTCACAAATGAAGAATTAGATAGAATTATTCTCACAAATGAAGGTAATTATAAGAAAGCAATCGTCACTGAGATCAAAAATAATATAGGAATGTATATCAACAAAGATGATGAAAGTGATAATAATGATAATGGGAAATTAGTAATTGATGGAAATAATAAATATAGCAACAATGATACGAATAGTATAGATGCAAAAAGCATTATAGAGCTCCTAGTTGCCTGCTTTACTGAATATCACAGTTTAATAAAGACAATCTGGAAGCTTGCAAAGATCTGTTTCCAATTATTCAAGAAACAGGGATTTTGAAATGTTATCTTTGTGATCAAGAAGCTCATTGATCCAAAGCTCAGAATTCCTATTTTGAATATTTTGGAAACATTCCTTGATATAATTTTTTAATAATAAAAAATTATGTTAATATAAATTAAAACCTAGGGTTTTCTATTTTTTTTTTTTGACATGGGAAGTAATAATCCAGGATAAACTGGATTAGTTTTTTGTTTAAACGTATAAACACTTATTCGTTATCTATTAGCTGAATAACTAACAGATTGGTTATGGATTAATCGCAGATACTGCCCATTGAGAGAAACCTCTACGATGTATGTGTTTCGAAAGTCTAAAGTTACCCGAAAAGCTTAATCTTAATATTACACATTAGAATATTAATTTATCACAATTTGCAATGCCAACTTTTGATCTTTTAATTTAGTTATCTAAAATGGCATGAAGCATGAATTAATCTGAATAATTAAAAAATAGTATAACAAATCAAATATCTATCGGAATTTAACAGTTTACGATAATGTAAAAGCGCGGAATTAATCTTATATAAAAGAGACTTGTCGAGTCTAAGGTTCTTCATTCTCTAATCGATTACCCTAATCGATTACCTATAGCAGAATAAATAAAAACTAAAAAAAACCACTAAATTCTCTAAATCAAAGATGACACGTATAATTTTTTTTTAGTACTGTTGCGTCGATTATAATAATTAGTTAAAGAGGGGTTTTTCGCACCAGGGTGAGAGCTAGACTGAATTATTTACGAGTAAAGGGATTCTTTGGGCGTTCTAAAGGCTTCCTGTGGCGACTTGTACGCAAATCGACATTAAAGATAATAATAAAACAAAATAAAATTATAATTCAAAAACAATCCAACAGGGCTTATTGGTACGGCCTGTCCAAGAAAGATCAAAACAAAATAACAATCCAAAAGAGATTAACGGCTTATTTAGAGTGGAGGAGCATCTACTACTTGCAATTACTCACAAGGTTTGAGGTTCGACCAATAGAATAAAATAATAGTGTATTCACAAGTATTATTACTATTACGAGTAAGAACTTTGTTATTTTATTAGATCAAAGCATGTTTCTACGAAGGCTCGAAAGCACCCCTATATATACAGGACTGAATTACTACGCTAATTCTAAGGTTAGTATTTTACATCGGTTTCTTTGGGGTTTATTATCAACGATCAAGTACCTATCGTTCGATTTCTAATCTATTTTTCTTAAAGGACTATTATCTACAGATGATCGTTTGTCCTTTGGAAAATCACGCGTCGAACGTTCATTAATATTAAAGAATCGGAAGGGAGATTTATGACTAACGCTAAGGTATTGTTTCATAATGAAGTGTTTCTATTTTCGTATTTAATCAGGAAACTAATCTAAAAAAGGATTTTTATTTTGGGAATAAATCGAAAGGAGATTTACGGAATTAGGAAATTCTATTGTGGACTATTTAAGGTTGGATATTAAGCGCATAAATTATGGAATTAAAGGATTTAACGATACTTTGGTAACAGAACTCTATCTTTTTTGGATTGGCATTCAACCCTCTACAACAATTCCAATTACCAACGAAATGAAATAATGTTGACACCCAACATTATTAAAGACCTCAACCAAACTCTTTATACCCGGGGTTAACGTACCAATCAATGAGAAACTATTGGAAAACGTTTTATCCTCTGAAGAACTTTCTCAACGCTTTCCATTCGGCAAATTCGAATTCACGATAAAAGTACCAAAACAACCTTTGAGTTTAGAGTAAAGATCGTTCCTAAATTATACGGAATACAATTAATTAACCTGAATTCAGAGAAGCATATATTGATCTATTATTTCGTAGCGGTAATGACGAATCCCAGAACACGCCCGATTCATTTGATTCGGTTGCCGATGTCAATAACGAAGCGTTCGAAGGTGCATTCCCCGTATCGATTCCCTTGACTGCCGCAGGAATTCAAGATTTGATGCCTCTTTTGGAATAATTTCGAAATTCTTTGGAGGGAATTGGAAAATTGTAGTTCCCGCGCAAAAAATTGAATGAGATATTGTTTATAGATCGGGAACTTTTAGAATCACCCTCAAACAATACATCAAAAACGCATATCGATCCTAACGCTAACGCTGATGATTTGTCAGGAGAACGCAAACCCATTAGCTGTAATGGAAATTATTGTTATGTTGGATTATCAATGTAATTCTTTGTTTTCGATATACGTACATATGAAAATACGTAATTAGATTGCCTGCATAACTACCCAAAACGGAGCTCGATTTTTTTCACGCTCCTGATTCCACGAACACGCTTAGTCTTAAAAAATCCACTTGACTTACGCAAAGTTTATATCGCAGATTCATTATTCTCTTTTTACGAGACAGAAAAAGTCTATTCAGGTTCCTTACTTTGTGAGT